CTTTAAGCTATCAAATACTCCTAATATTAATAAAAATTAGTTGTTACCCACATAAGCACACTGCTTCCCAAATAGAAGGAATCAGCACTCCAGCACAGGGCACAAGTTAAAAAGTCAACGCCTTTACTCTTCTTTAAAACGCCCAAAGCCCAGGATGTATTTAATGGTAACTTATCTTAGTGTGCCAGGAGGCATATGGTAACACATACGGGGCTGATAAAGAGGGATGGCAGGCTGGAGCGTCGGTGCTTGCGTGGAGAGGCAGAGTGCATGGGCAGGACACTCTCCAGGGCTTTAGAAAGCTTTTCTGCAAAGGTTTCTTCAGGGGCAGTCCGAAGGTAGGAAGGAGAAAGAGGTGCAGACAGCGCTGGCGGTGGGGTGGAAGGAGCACTGGGAGGGATGCAGGACAAAAAGGGAACAGCAGAAAGATGGGGGATACAAACTGACATGCTACGACCACGTTGAGGCTAAGGAGGAAAACAAAAATTAAAGAATTGAATATTTTGAAAATGAAAACAAACTGCAAAACTAATGAGATAGAAAGGTAGATACACGCAATGATCAGCTAGTACTGACTGCTATGTGTACAAAAGGATATATGAAGGAGCTTAATGAAGGCCAGTACACACACTGAATAAGGGGTGTGTACCTGTGAGGACTCAAGTTTGCTTTAGATAAAACTGAACAGCAAAGAAATTTCTATTTGTGCTTTTACAAGACAACCTGTATATGCACACAAAGAGCACAGCAGAGATGAGAAGATATATCTGCTCAAAGTATAAAGCTCTCCAGAGCCAGTGAAGTGGTGTTTCCAGTACCTGACAATTCAGCCCATGAAAGGCCCTACAAACTTATAAAAGGAGGCTTTAGACGCCTGCTTTAGGGTCAGGGAGGAGGTGGTAATAAGTGATGCATGTCAAAGTTCTTAGTGTCATTTGCCTCTCCGACTTTCGAGAGAGGCTTTTGAGAAAGCAGTTTGGTTTCCTAAACATACAACTAAACTAACAGAAAGCAGTTAGTGCTTTCCTCAGCCGACTCATTATATAAGAAATAGAACATACCATCCACAATAGAGTGTAAAGCAAAAAAGTAAAGTTATTTTCAAAGTATGAGACTACTGTTAAAATAAGAATGTATTTTCTAGTAACTGTATTTAAAAAAAAGTTAAAATTTGGTAGTTTTGCCACAATCAAGAAGCCATTAACATCAGGATCTGACCAAATTAAAGAATTGTACTGCTTTAAAATAAATAAAAAAGACGGAAGTGTTAGTCTAGAGAACAGCCCAAAAATCTCAAGATGTACTTCTCTACTTCTGGAGACTTGAAGTAATCTGGCCCATCACCTTCCCTCAAAAGGGAACTGAGCTGGAGTCCTATGTTTTGCAAGAAGTCTGCTAGATGGGTGGCTGTCTGAAGAGCTGCAATTAATTTTAACAAAGTTTGCCCTACCAATAACTTGACTGATCCAAAAGACTGCTCATGATTTCTCTACTATTGTGTTCTGTGAAGGTTCTTAAACCAGTCTCATCACTCTGGTACATGAATGCCACCCAGTAATACATTAAGCAACATGACTGTATCTGTTAAATATATTTGTTCTCTCATCCTCTCTCAAAGGTCACTGGTCACTAGTCATTCAATATGGAAGCTGGCCATGCCAAGATTGTGGAATAGTTTAGGATCCAAGACATGCTATGAATCCATATTTTAGTCTGGGAGCAACTCATGAGCTGTTTTTCGCGACTAACAAAAATAAAATCAAATAAAACATTTTATCAAGCATTAGTTTAGTGCCTTCGGAAAGGATGGAGAGGCCATTTGCTTATAAGCAAAACTGGCAAGTGTCTTCACAGAAGAAGAGAATTTCTCAAACTCTTTAATAAACTTCACAAATGTAGGTATCAGTCGTCTTCTTCCAAATATAGTATCGTTGTTTGAAGCTAAGATAATCTTTCTGGCTCAGAGACTTTGCAAATAAAGGGAGCTAGCGAGGATAGCACAACAGAAGCTTAAGTTCTACTGTGGAAGGGGGGGAGTATGTTTCTGAAGACTGCTTTAACAATATACCAAGGAAACAAGGTATCAAATAAAAGGGTAATACAAATGAACATAGTAGGAAAGGTATCTGTGCCCATTGCAGACTTTCCAGGGAAAGGAATATGCATGACAACTGATGAGCAACTCAACACAAGCTATAAATAAAATGGAAAGACAGGCATGGGATCTCTTCAGTCTGGAGTTCTCACATGCAGCATTCTATAATGGTTCAAAATTCTTACCTGTAAGATCTGTAATCAAAACCTTATAAACAACACATAGCAATCACACATTATAGAGTAGCTCTCACTAAAAAAAATTGTTCTAACCCTTCCCAAGTTCTTCCAAAGTTTTCATGAGTGGGAATTCCCACTCACTATTCAGTATGCCGAAACACTACCACCACCACCTTGAATGCAGCTAAGTCCATAACGTTGAAAAAGTTAGAAACCATGTACCGAGGGTGCTCCCATTCAAGCTTTCTATCAATTCATTTCTTTCCC